TTAGAATGTTCTCTACAAAATGTAACAGCGTCGCCCAATGCAGATAAACAATTGAAAGAACTTGAAGGCACAGAAGTATTAATTTATGTGGAAGAAGTCAATAATAGCAGGTTTGTAAATTTTACTGTAATTATAAATATACAAACAAGTTTATGATTAATGGATATTAACTTTTATTTATATAGACTTATCGTAAAATTGTACGATCTATTCGGTAATGGGATAATTAATACTGAAGAGAAGATATCACCCGTACGTGCAATGCCCATTCTAAGTTCAACTCACAATGTCTTTGTATCATATACGGATCATCCTACTAACATCTGGTTGCAACGATATTTGGATGTGGATCTTGAGACTAAACTAGCGAGAGATCTTCAACAATATTATGCTAGTTCTGGCCAAAATCTTAAACCAGAAATTCATTTATTATGCGCGACGAAATATTCAGACGACGGCCAATGGTACAGAGGGAAAATCGTTAGCCTTACCGAAACGACGGCCTATATAAATTATATTGACTACGGCAATTCGGAAGAAGTTGCCCTAGACTCACTCATGATTTTGGAACCGCAATTTTATGAACCTCACCAATTAGCCATAAATGTATCGTTGTCCGTATCTCTTACTGGCACTGAGGCTGAACAGAAAGATATATTGCAAACTCATTTGATGAGTAAAGATTTTGTGGCTACATTTTACAACGTGTACAAAAAGTGGATCGTCGATTTAATTGAAAACGGAGAAAAACTCAGCGATAAATTCCGTTCATTGAATTTAGTAGAAATAGAACAAACATTTGAATTAGCACCTCAACTAGCATCTCAGATACACGAAATAACACCTGGCAGATTCGACGTATGTGTATCTCATGTGGATTCTCCAAGTCAGTTCTGGTTGCAGTATATGGATAAGATGACAGCTCTTAATGAAAAACAACAACAACTTCAGCTAGAGGTTTCCAATTTTTTGACGATAGATGGTATACCGGAAGAAGGCACTTTGTGCGTTGCCGTTTATACGATTGACGATCTCTGGTACCGCGCGGAGGTATTGGACGCAGATGAAGATATCACAACTGTCCGATTCATAGACTATGGTAATACTGATGTCATAGATAACAAGGCGAGCAACATTCGACAGATACCAGACGACTGGAAGAACCTAGAAGCATTCGCATTTAAATGCAGACTTGATGTTATTCCTGTAGATACGGAGGATTGGAGCGAGTCGACTTGCGAGAGATTCCAGAACATAGTAACATCAGTGGAGAGTCTTCAAGCTCTGATAATAGCAGATACTATGCCTAAGCGCGTAGAACTGTTCATAGACAACAATAGCGTTAGCGAGACGTTAGTCGAAGAGAAACATGCCATCATAATTAATACCGAGCAGGAACTCGTAAATGAGATAGTCGATCTTGAACTGGATCCGCACTCAGCCTTCGTATGCCACATTAATTCACCGAGCGAATTTTGGGTTCAGGAAGAAAAATCAGTTGCTGATTTAGAAGTAATGGCGGATAGATTCATGGTCGCCGATATGTTTCCGAAAATTGAAGAAAGGAAAGAAGGTTTGCTGTGTGTCGCCAAGTATCCTGAGGACGAACAATGGTATAGAGCGCGCATTGTCTCTCATGACGATAATGGCACGCAAGTAATATACATCGATTACGGAAATTCCGCAATATCCACCGAAATTCGTACCATTCCAGAAGATCTAGCGAGTATACCGCCTTTGTCGCGAAAGTGCTGCTTGGAATTGCCATTGCAAGTCGTCGAATGGTCTGAGCAAGCACGTGAAAAATTCGTCAAACTCGCGGCAGACGGCGCGACAATTTTCCTCCTAGACGTTCTGAAAGACCAAGAAACATCGTTGGTGAAACTAACCCTGGACGGCCAAAATGTCGCTGACATTCTTGGTAATATGTGCGAGCAAAATTTGCCAGTTATAGAGGAGAGATTGCCACCGCTCGGTGAAGAGAATTCGCCGAATGTGATGGTCAGTCACATCAACTGTCCAAACGAGTTCTGGATTCAAGCCGAAAGTAGTATAAGCGAACTGGAGGTAATGTCGGATCGTTTACGAGATGCGGAGAGTTTTCTCGCGTTGAACAACCTTGATGTGGGCATGGTCTGTGCAGCTCGATATCCCGAGGACGGTTATTGGTATAGGGCAAAAATAGTCGGTCATTGTGAAGAGGGTACGGAGGTCCTGTACATGGATTATGGCAACTCTGCGATTACGGAGGAATTGCGAGTGCTGCCGGAGGATATCGTGAATATTCCTATCTTATCGAAACTATGCGCGCTGGAAAAACCAAACAACATTGAATGGAGTGAAAAAGCTTGCGACAAATTTAAAGAACTCGCCGCTGAAGGAGCCACGATGTTCCAGTTTGAAATTCTTGACGAAGACGACCCGATGCACGTTCGATTATATCTAAACGGAACAAATGTTATTGGTCTTTTATCTGAATGCGAAAATATTCCAGAGGTTATAGAAATAATCGAAACAGATGATGAAAATATTGCTGAAAATAATACTGAAAATAATACTGTCGATATGGAAATACAAAAAACGATGTCACATGAGTATCAATTAATAAATGATAAAAAAACAGTATTAAATCAAACGGATGATATGGAATGTATAAATCAAATGAAAAAGCTTGAAATTAATGAAATAGCATGTAATGGATTGACTAACTCTGATATAGATGAGAAATGCAAAGACCAGCAAATTGCAAGCTTTAGCGAAATTAAAGAGAACATAGATGACAGTTCTGAAATTACGGTAGTTGAAAGTACTTCCTCAATGTTGAAAGATATTATCAGTGCAGTCATAATGGAGAAGGGTTTAGATGTCACGGTTAGAAATGAAACGATTTCTAATGCAATTACTTCTATCGAACCATATTTGACATCCTCGTCCAATGTAAAAGAACTTAGCATTGACGAAATAATTGAAAATATGATAAGAAATGCCACTGACGATCTAGAATCACAGAAAATCGATGATTTATTAAATGCAAGAAGAGATATTGAGAATTTGGAATCGAACAAAGTTTTATCTGTAACGACTGAAGCACAGCCTCAGGACACGCAACTTCATACTAGTCAAGTTCAGAATGTGGAACAAGAAATATGCATTAAGATGGAATCTGATGCAAACGAGTCAAGATCCGAAATTTTAGAAATGGCATGCTTGCCAAAAGAACAAATGAATTTCGAACAGATTCAAAGGCAAAATTCAATAAAGAATGGAACCATTTCTGAAAGTATAAACAATGATTTGGAAAGTCATTCTGAGAACACAGATACGAGTAACGCAGATTCTTCCTTGGGATTATCTTGTACAGCGGAATCGCCCATAATTAAGATTGAGCCAGTAATTGTACAACATAGTCATTCAGAAAAACAGTCAGAGGATATACTTTG